CTCTTAAGAGCTTCATCCCACAAAATGCTGAGCACTTCCTACAAGGTGCTGAGCACCAACAACTCCCATTGAAGAACTTGGCTGGATTGGGCCCTTAGGAAGTAATGAGCCATGGACATGTATTCATAGATTCATAGATATTTAGGTAAGAAGGGACCATTATGATCATCTAGTCTGACCTCCTGCACAACGCAGGCCACAGAATTTCACCTACCACTCCTGCAAAAAAACCTCTCACCTATGTCTGAGCTATTGAAGTCCTCAAATCGTGGTTTAAAGACTTCAAGGAGCAGAGAATCCTCCAGCAAGTGACCCGTGCTCCATGCTACAGAGGAAGGCGAAAAACCTCCAGGGCCTCTTCCAATCTGCCCTGGAGGAAAATTCCTTCCTGACCCCAAATGTGGCGATCAGCTAAACCCTGAGCATATGGGCAAAATTCATCAGCCAGATACTACAGAAAATTCTTTCCTGGGTAACTCAGATCCCACCCTATCTAATATCCCTTGAAGTATTCTTCAATGAGCCAACTGATAGGCCATAGCTTAAAGGAAATATGGGTGTTTTGACTCGCATCCTGAAGTTCTTTTTCAGTATTACTCTTAGGTCTTTTGGTTTTGTCAGTCAACTGCATTGTAAAACATTGGACAGACATTTCTAGGCTCAAGATACTAGTTTTCACTTTTAACATGGAAAGTGAATGTTACACATAAATATGATTTTTGTCTTGTCTTCCTTTCACTTTTTTATTGCAGCTGCTACAAAAAACAATTTCTTCTGTCCTGATGTCATCATCCAGTGAGGATGGGGTAGGTATACATAAGATAAATAAAGAAATTGAAATTTCTTGAATTTTAGTTTAGAGGCAGAGTTCCAAAGTGGACAGTAGCTATTCTGAGCTGTATGTAAACATGCTAAGAATACTTTGTTCTTATATAGCATCTTTCATTTGGGAATCTGGGAATGCTTAGGAAAAAACAGAGTCTCACTACACCCTGACAGTACACTTATTTACAGATGGGCACTTAGTGCAAGTCAGTGACAAAACCAAGAGTCCTGGCCCGCTAGTTCTTTCTTCTAACACCCAGACCCAATTGCTCTCAAGTAACTGTCACTGAAGTTTCATCATAGGAAGCAGCACGAAAAAAACCTGTAAAATATATAATAAATTGTTTTATTGGAACCCAAATAAATCAAACCACAGATACATGAAACACAAGCAACCATGCTCTATAAGACAGTCATCAAGTGGTTTACTCTCTTGGTCTGAGATATCATCAGTATAGCCCTATTTGCTTGTCTTGTGTTTTATATGGTATGTTTAGTTGTCACTAACACAATACACTGTATTAATTTGATTTATAAGGAATATTTTAAGTGGAAAGTTTTTCTTAAAATTATTTTGCAGTGAATTGTTTCCTGCTCTTTTATATTGTAGATACTTTAGTATATGTAAGCTAATAGACTTATGGTTTATAGAAGACCGTTTTTAAAATGATTAATAATCTTCCTGCAACTCTTGAATACAAAGCCAGTGTTTGATAGAGTACTTGCACATCAATTCCGAAGTCTATTCAAATGTCATTTGACACAAGCTTCTTTCCATTAACTATTTTTTGTTTGGAAAGTATGACAAAATAATGTAGCCCTTTTTTGAGTGAGTTGGGTTAGTTAACTAAAACAAACAAAACCCAAAGAAACTCATTTTCATGCTTTAAGTCTTAAGAATATTTGCCAGTTATCCAGAAAGATTACACCCGAAAACTTGCTGTTTGGAGGGGTTTTTTTTCCTTCTAGTTGAAATCCAGTGATAACTTCCCCCCACCCCACCCCACCCCCCTATACTGCACTAATTCAAACTGCAGCGTTATTTTAAAAAGAAAACACATTTAGGGAAAGACTAAGCATAAGAAATATCACTTCAAATTGTAATTTTTGCCAAAGTTAGTGTGGGCTTCAAATAAAAATGTCTTTTCAAGCCTGGTTCGAACAGCCACTACTCCTATTTTCTAATCCTGGTTCTACCATCTTTCTGTGTAACCTTGGACAAATCACCTAACCGTTATACCTTAGTGTACCACACTATAAAATGAATATAGTAGTACTTACCCCACAGAAATGTTGAGGCACAATTAGTATTAAGCTATATTGTGATCCTTAAACAGAAAAAGCTATATAAATGCAAATTATTATAACTATATATGTAGGACTGTACAGGAACAGGTGTAAAGTTTTTTTTGGTTTTGTTTTAAGGTTTTATTTCGAATGGGATTTTTTTCTTTGGTTACCTTCTTACAGACCATGCACACACACAGTGCCCTATCACATGCAAAATCCTTGGGTGTCCAAGAAAGCTATATAAAGAAGCAATTGGTTATGCTTTCATGGACTGGGTGCTAGATTGCAGTAGCCATTATACCTACTGCAGTTTTAAGAGCCTGACCGTGAGATCCATTCTAACTGCGACTGCTGGGAATTGTTTTATTTCTAAAATTATTGAAAATCTAATTCGTTTATCAGACTAAGTACATTCTTTGTAGCAGCATTTCACCATCTTATTTTGTTTAGCTTCCTTTTTGAGCAGTAAAAATGTTGTACACTGGAAGAGGACCTTACACTCTATCTCTGAGTTGTGTGAACAGAACGTACAGTACTGTTTGTTTAATCAACATGCCTTTATCACTACAGAGTTATGAGTTGAAGAGTGTGCTGGGAAAGGAGGTGGGGTTATTAAACTGCTATGTCCAGTCTGTAACCAACCATCCTAGCTGTGTTGGATTGGAGGAAATTGTCCTTCTGGAAGCAGGAAGAAACTAAACCGAATGCTGTCAGCTACTATAATATCCATGGACTTTGTAATGTGGTTATTTGATAACTATACCCACAGATAATGTATAATGCAAGCATGATATAGTGAGGTAGTTTATTAAAACTGTGATTTAGAAAATATATTGTTGCTAAACTTAAAAAAGCTAAATATAATTTTTTTAAAATCTTGATTTTTTTGAATGTTTCTATTGTGTTTTTGATCAGTCCAGAATTTAAGAGTATAGTTCTTGAGAGTGTTCTGTTGGAGTAAATGTTCATGAATGTAAAACAACTTGTTCTGGAGGTTTGAATGTTTGTAAAGTGTGTTTTTGGTGATTTTTTTATAATGGGTGTTATGAATATTGTGTATGTATCAATACTTGTGTGTGTATCAAAAGAATAACATTTTAAATGTTATTTTTGGAATAAGGGTTTTACCATGAGTGGTGGACCTTAATTAAGCTATCTGTTTTAATAACAATTTCCAGATGCATTATACACTGCACACCATTGATACTGAACTGTAACGTTATTACCACTCTGCAATAAATATTACAAATACAGATTTTAATGAGCCTCATTATCTTTCAGATATGATAAATGGTGTCAAAGGTGTATTGAACTAGTGTTTTATAAGTTAGTCATAGTCTAAATATAGAAATACTGTGGCATCGAACTTCCCATGAGGTGGATGTTTCATTGTATAGTATAAATGTGTATGAAGAGCAAAGAACAAACTGGTTCAGGAGTGGTATAATTGTTCTGATAGCTGCATGTAGCTATGGAGACATCGTTATAACCTTAATCTTTTGTGTTCATAACTGAACTTTAATGTAAGACTAGACTGTAAGGTTATTAAGGTACCAACTGATTTTTTTCTTTGTCCTGTACAGCACAGAGCACATTGTCTGCACTTAATGAAAAAACAATAGACCAGAGTTATACAGTAACTAGTTTTGCATGCTGAAAAGATTTTCCTACCTGATTTGTGGCTATTGAATAGACAAATAACTGTAAATCGGTCTCCTGCTAGTCATTTCTGGGGTAATCTGAGATAACAGAATGACTTTTAGGCACTCTTTTGAGCACTAATGAATAACCAAGCCTTTGAGTCAAAAAAAGACCTTTTCTTCCTTAGCTGTTTTACCTTAAGAAAAAGCTACAAACAGTGGGCCTAGTCCATCAAATACCAGGTGTAATACTTACTGCTGTGAATAGTCCCACTGAAATCTATGGAACTATTTTCTGCAGGTAAGCACTACACCCTGGTAGTGTTTGCAGCATTAGGTTGGTTTTCTGCAGGCCACTGCTGCCCCCACACATGCTGTGCTGCTAATAAGTTTCCTTCCAGATTATGAACAAATTTAGGTGACTAAATTGACTTAAATATATGCAGTTATTTTCAGTGTCAGTTCTGCCTCTTGGACCCTCACTGTCAGTAGAACTGCACAGCAAAGGTGGTCAGTTTGTTCACTGAGTAGGATTCAGAATACTAAAATGTATCCATACAAGAAACTAAAGATTTATGTACTTGCAGCAATAATGTAAATAACCTGTTCATTCCACAAGGAATGCATTTTTCCTGAGAGACTTCATAGCCTTAAAACCTCTTTGTACAAGTAATAGTATACATGGCTTGACCTGATTTTGGGGTATTTTACAGTGGGAGCTCTGTTGTCTTGAGGATTTACCAGTTTAATAGCAAAACTTAGCTTCCCCTGTGTTTTATTATGCTACTTGAGAACCATGGTAGGAAATGGCCTACTTGTTGTTAAGAGTTCAGCCATTGGTGGATCAGTTAGCTTGAACTGTTGTTATAAATAGTAATTACTGACTCAACGTTGGTATAGCAGAATGTAGGGGGTGCAGGAAGGTATACTTTATAACCATTATACTGGCAGACATGAATTTTAACCCTATTAATGAATACCAAAGTGTTGCCTCCATTTTCTTTTGAGATGTTTAAAAGATTTAGTGCACTAAATAAGCCTATTAGTTTTTTCCTAATTTAAAATTAAACTTTTTTTAAAAAGTTGTACTTAAAGCACACCTCCAGTCTGGGTTTTACTGATGAATCACATTTCCATATTAATCATACTATGCATGTTTGTAACTCCTGAGAAGTACCGCTCCACCTGTTGCATTTACACTCAACCCAAGGCTCCAAAGCATAGGGCAAAGACATGAAGCAGAAGTGATTAAAAATGCTTTTTTATTTTTAGAAATGCTGTAAAAATTGATATAAAAGGTTGAGCATGCTCAGTCTTTTTCCTCCTACTATCTACAGTATAAAGAGGGTTTTTTGAATCATTTTTACAAATGTACCATAGCTGCATCAATATGAGTAAATTGTAGAAAGAACAAAAACAACTATTACAAAAATAATTTAAGGGGAAAAAAACACAAAAGTTTAGCTTTTTTTCCTTTTCTCTCTCTCTCTCGCTAGAATTTTTTTGCAAGTTTGGCCGTTAAAGACCCAGGGTCCTAGCCCAATCTTGCTACAACATTCAAAAGAAACTGAAATCCAGCACAATTTCACTGTTGTCTTCCTCTCTCCCTTCATGCCGCTTAGGGAGCCGAGCAGCGGCGGCGGCCCCCTCCGCAGTCCTGAGGCACCGTCCCCGCCGCAGGTAGGCCAGTCCCGCCTCTGCAGCGCGGCTGCTCCGTGGAGGTCTCTGAGGTATTGGTAGGATAAGGCAGTCACAGTCCCTCGCGTCCCTGCCCACTGAGTTACCGGCAGTCGGTGCCCGAGCCGGGCTGCAGGAAGGAGGCGCCAGGCAGCTGCTTGAAGAAGTGCCGGAGGCTGGTCAAGTCCCGGCTCAGCTGCTCGATCTTCTTGTGCAGCTTCTCGTTCTCGGCCGACAGCTCCAGCAGCTTCTGCTGCATCTCCTGGTTGCGGCGCTTCGCCTTGTCGCGGCTCTTGCGCACGGCGATGTTGTTGCGCTCCCGGCGCTGCCGGTACTCGGGGCTGAACCTGTCCACCCACTTCTTGCCGCTCCGCTCTTTGCCCGCCGCCGCCCCCTGCCCGCAGGAGGAGGACGACGAGGGGGACCTGGTGCTGCAGCTGGACGGCGAGCTGCTGCCCGCGGGCTCGGGCGAGGTGGGCGGCGTGGGCTGCCCGCTCAGGTTCATGATGGTCTGGGCGCAGGTGGCGACCTGCGAGGGCAGCAGGGAGGCGGAGAGGTCCCTGTCGCTCCAGTCCGGCTCCCGCTTCAGGGCGGCCCGCGGGGCGGAGGAGGAGCCGGGCCGAGGCTCGCCACCCAGCAGGGCGCCGCCGAAGTCCTTGGCGGGGTCGCGGCCCGCCGGCGGCAGGTACTCGCCGTAGTCGCCGCCCCGCTCCGCCTTGTGGTTGCTGTTGAAGAGGTCGGCGAAGAGCTCGTCGTTGCACAGCTCCAGGTTGGGCACCGCCGACATGGAGTCGATGTAGGAGCTGAAGTCGATGGCGCTCTCGTCCTCGTACATGGCCGGGGCGGCGGCGCTCAGCTCGGCCAGGCTGCTGCTGCCGCCCCCCTGCTCCTCGGCGCTCATGCCGCCGCTCCCGGGCTTGCAGGAGGGGCTCAGCCCGCCGCCGCCCGCCTTAGTGTCGTAGAAGTTGGCCGGCTCCAGGGACCAGTTCCTGTAGCATGCCGGGGAGTCCAGGCTGTACAGGGCGGCGGCGCTCATCGGAGAGCGGGCAGCGGCGGCGCAGGGCTGACGGGGGCGCAGCGGGGCCCGGGCTCCGCGGGCTGTTCGCGCCGCCACACGGGAGGGGCTCCCCCTCGGCTGTCCGGCTGGGCTGGAGGCTGCTCCCGGGCTCACCCTGCCCGGCGGCGTGTCACGCTGGGAGCGCCCAGGCCCGTGCCCACGAGGAGGTTGTTCCGACACCGGGTCAGCTAGTCTGAACCTGGGAGCCGCCGCCTGCCCCGCTTTTATCTGGCCCCGGCCCCGCCCCCCTGCCCCGGTGACGGGGCGAGCGTGTTACTGGAATCCCTCGGGCCCGGGGCTGTGCCGCGCGAGGGGAGGGGTTTGCCCTGCGCCGCTGCCGGGGGGCGCGGAGCCGCGGAACCTAAATCCGAGGCTGCGCCTCCTAAATCTTTGCAGCAGCAGCAAGTTGGGGGAGGTCGGGCTGCTTCCGCCACCGAGCCGGAGCCCGGGCGAGCTCCGCCGGCTGCCGCTGGGAACGCGCCTGTAACAGGCGGCGGGACTTGCTGGTCTCATTCCCACCTTCCTGTTTATGGGGGTTTGCGCTGCTCGGGTTCCTGGGGAAGGGGCGGGAGCGAGAAACCACTTGCCCTGAACCGTACACGAGCAATGCACGTGGGCTGCAAACGTGTCCCCTGGGCAGGACCAGGGTAACTGTTAAGCCCCAGAGCAGCGCCAAGGCGTTGAGCGCCAGCGGCTGATTTCGCAAAGCTCAGCGTCGCCGGGGCAGAGCCGAGGACTCCCGTGGCTGGCGCTGGGTCTCAGCCTGCCGAGGAGACGGCTCACCTTCGCCCGGTGCGCTGCCTAGTGAGGTGGCGGCGATCGGTACTTCGCCTGCTGCACCTGAGGCTGGGCGTAGCTCGCAGCTTGTGTATTGCAAGGCTCGGCATCAGCCACGGTTTAGAGGGAAACTCCGCCTGGCCGATGAATTTCCCCCCCCGTAACAAGGCTCCGCTCCCTCGTGCGTCCGCTATCTTTTCTAAACGTGTTCACACTTATTGCGTCCTCGCAGGGCCGTGCGGCGCCTCGTGGTTTTGACAGGCGAACTGGCACGTACACACTGCATGGAGCGGCGGGGGGGAGGGGGGGGGATAGCTTTGTGCTGTTTGTTTGACCATGTGATAGATTTTAGCACCATAGGCAATACTTGGTCTGCATTCAAAACCATGAAGTGATTTGCCTCCTTGGTACGCATTGCCCTCTTGTGGCTGAATGTTGGCTATGTCGGTATTTGTCAGCTCAGGCTGCAATGTAGGTCACGCAAAGAGCGCGGGGAGGGTGTGTTACACTGACACCCACAGCCGCGGAAGAGACCGCCCGGGTGTCCCGGTTCCCAGTTACGGTCTTTAAACAATCGCTCACCTTGAGAGGGTTTTCCTAGAGGTAAGTCGTGAATAATAAAGTGTAAAGTGTGCTGCTTTAGGAACACGGTCGTTTCTCTGTTTCGTTTTGCGCGATTTTGATGGCCATGATTATCGGCGGCACAGCCTTGTGAACGGGTTGCAGCTCGTGGCACGATAAAGTAAAAAGAACAGGAGGACTTGTGGCACCTTAGAGACTAACCAATTTATTTGAGCGTGAGCTACAGCTCACTTCATCGGATGCTTATGCTCAAATAAATTGGCTAGTCTCTAAGGTGCCACAATTACTCCTGTTCTTTTTGCGGATACTGACTAACAGGGCTGCTACTCTGAAAACTATAAAGTAACACTCCAAATAAATAGTTAATTTGGGTTTCTTAGCAAGGAAGGAATGATGAACTTTTTTTTCTTTTCTTTTTTTTTAAGTGGAACTGACCTGAATTGTAGCAAGCATTTATGAGGAATGAGAACGTCCCTATCCTTTCCCAAAGGTTCCAGTATAGTAATACACCTCCCCGCCTTCTCAGCACCAGCCCTCCTGACAAGGGCTTTATGCCATACTAGATTGCAGTCACTAACACGTGGGGGGGAGGGGTTCTGATACCATGACCTCAGGGGCAATCTACTTTAATGAGTTTTGCTTGAGCAATCACTGCAGGATTAGGTATTACATACAGAAAAGCTTGTCTTCCTAAATACCTACCTCTAAAACTAGATATTATCACCACACAGGTTTATAGAACTGTTGCTGTGGGCTTTTAAAGGGCTGCTGCCTCCCCCATTTGATGGCAGCAGTGAACAAAGTATTCTGCTTGCTCTGACACAAACATTTTGAGATCCTCCACAGTGAAAGGTACTGTAAAAACATATGGTCATTAAAAGTTCTTTATATAACTAATTAGGCTCAGACATTTTTGGTGATGTGAAAGCTTATAAAAACACTAATAGAGTTTAGGAAATCTTCCCACTGGTTTGCAGTCTAGTCTTGTCAAATGAACACCACCTCCATCATTCATATTGGCTGGAGGATTGCATACCAGTGGTGGCTTGCTTGACATTTTGATGGGTAAATTCTTCACCTTTTGACCTGGCACATGTAATGTAAATGAGTGTAGAAAATACAACTTTTTCCAATGGAGACTTTAAAGAGGAATCAGTATATATTTACAAAATAAACATACATACACCTGAGTATTTCACTTTGTGAATGTCACTCTAGTGCCCTCCTGAGGTTCAGTTAGTTTAGGAGAAATTACTGTGGTTACTAAAAAGGCAAGAACTCAGCCTGACAGATTGGGACAATCTGTTTTAACTGACAATATGCTTGCCTGTACATTTCATTACAAGATGTTCTTCTGACAGCAACAAGGTTATAAATGTAGATTTATGGTTTTAGACACTTTAGAGAGTAAAATGAAAACAGTTTAGTTGCACAGTAATCTCTCTTACCCTCCTCCCTTCAGCTGCCTATTAAAAAAAGTTTTGATGAATATACTCATACTTTAAAATCAGTAATTGATACTGGTAAATGAACAAGTATACCTGAAACAAAATTAATGTAATTAAAAATTAAAGATACAATGTGTAATATGAAGTTTTCCCATCTCCCAAACATTTTAAAAGAATAGTCCCCTGACTGTTTACAAAAGGGAAAATAAAATTGTTTATCAAAATATGTTTGCTTGTTTTTTTTAAGAGAATTAGCTAAAGCAATTAATATTCAAAATGAGTTGCCTAGTTTCTCTCTTCATAGGTAGACTTTAAAAGGACAGTGCTACAGTCTGGTCTACATACAGTAGTTTTTGTACTGCCTTAACTATTACAATTAGTGGTGTGCATTTTGTTTGTTTGTTTGTTTCAACCAAAATAGTTACAGGATGACACCCCCCTTGTGTGGATGCAGTTATACAGCTATAATTTATTCTTCTTCCGTTATGGAAATAAGCTATACCGGGAGTTCTCAAACTTCAGTGCACCACAAGCCCATTCTGACCACAAAAATTACTATATGACCTCAGGAGTGGGGAACTGAATCCTGAGCCCACCTGAGCCAAAGCCAAGCCTCACTGCTCCAGGCCGGGGATGAAAGCCAAAGCCCAAGGGCTTCAGCCCCAGGCAGAGGGCCTGTAACCTGATCTCCACCACCCAGGCTGAAGTCCTTGGGCTTTGGACCTGGGCGGTGGGGTTCGGGCTTCAGTTTTGGCCCTGGGCCCCAGCAAGTCTAGGCCAGCCCTGGCTTTATGGGGTCCTGACCCACAGTTTGAGAACCACTGAGCTATACTACCTCAAGCATCTTCGTACCAGTACAACTGTCCTTACTATGGGGTTGTATTACTTTACACACACAAGTTGTACCGCTTTAGCTATATAAGTGTAGTTAGACAAGCTGGTAGGCATAGCTTCAGTTTGCTCTCTCTGGACTTGATCATGCAACTCTTAGTTACATCAATAGTCCCCACTGAGTTTAACTTTCACATGAATTAGGGTTGCATGATTGAGGATATATTAACATAATTGTATTTTTGTAACACAAAATATACCTTTATAAATCAATATTCATTTTAGGTGGCTCAAACAAGTACCTTCATTTTATATTATTTCATTTGTAAATAGGTTGTATTGTAGTAAAGATCAGCAATGGACTCTGTCTCGCACGTCTCTAGGTGATCTCTGAGTTCACAATGCTTCCTAATCTGATGAGTGCATACATACCTGTAATCTATCTGGACACTGAAGCCACAAACTCCTTTCTGTCCATTCTCATTATTCACGATTTTGAAACCTAATACTATTCCCATAATTTTTTGTCTATTTAAAATAATTTTTAAATTGTTTAAACATATGAATTACTATAGATAAAACATTCAACAACCTTTGCATATGCTACATGTGAGTGTCTACACTACAAAATGTAACGTCCATATTGCCACAACAGCCAAAAATGGTACGGCAGGACTGAGGTTTAGACATGGCTCAAGCATTTTTACCACTATGATAAAAGTCTGTTTTTCATTATCTCTAGCTCAGATGCACCATTGTTGGCAGGTACAAGTTTTTCTAATGTCCATAAGGCCTACTTTCCTAAACAAAACTTGGCAATTTTCCAACATTTCTAAACCAGATGCATAAACTCCCCAGCCTCTGTTTTACATTCTGATCTGGAATTATCCACCCTAATCATTTGTTTTGGAGCGATATATATATCAATGTATAGCTCTAGCAAAAATTAAATAGTCTCAGCCTGTGCCTAGTAGCTATTGATACAAAATTTAACTTGCTTATTATTTAAAGCTCACGTTCCTTGGCATAATCTGTGATGCCATATTCCATTTCTACTGACCTTTGAAAATCCTCTCAGCCTGTTTCAAAAAATGTATAAATTAGAAGTTATTTTAGCTGACAGGGTATTAATCTTGAAACGGATACAGCTTTTGTTCAGTGCAGCATTTTTTGGCTCTGCCAAGGCTTGGTTGGCAAAACCTATTCTCAGGGCAATGCTGCCTTTCATGATGGTGCTGATGCACAGAGGGAAGCGAGTTCCTATCAAAGAAAGAAAGAATCTTTGGCATTGGGAGGAGTCCTTTCCATCCAACTGTAACAATGTTAAATTATTTCGGCCCAATCTCTGACCTATGTTGACAATTTCTGTTACAATAGAGGTGGTGCTACACTTAATTTGAGAACATTTAGTAGGCCGGTGTTTTGTTTCTTGACACAAGAATATGGAGGGTACTGCCACTTTTGTCTGTTGTATGTAGATGCAGTAGTGACACGTGCATGCTGTATTTCTCCATGCCAGACAGAATACATTTCTATAGAAGACTTTTCTCACCTACATAAATGTGCTATGC